TCCCCCCTCTCCCAATTCCTACTAAGCCCTCAAACAGGCAACTAGCAAAGGCCATAATGCATAAGGAGAGAGGGAGTTGCAATGTTTAAGGCCAGAGGAAGCTTCTCCATCCTGATTGGCCGGTGGCCCTTTCCTAACTCTTCCCTAGAGCAGAACCATTTTGAGTCTTCTTCCCAGGAGATTTGGGGTGTGGCATATTTGTCCCTACTTGTCAGAGACCAGGCTGATGAGCAATGGTGGGAGCCTCCCCCTCCCCCTGCTCCTGACCAGGATCCTGAAGCTGCCCAGGAGCAGTATAGATTTGAAACAGTGGTTTGCAGAGGGGCATAGTTCTGAAGATAAAAGTAACCTGAAGCGTCTGTAACCCGAGGTACCACTGTATTTGTGAGAATGGATTCCAAATATCATGGAATTTGTCCCTGACAAGTCTGCGTTTATATGCAAGTTGTTCATATGTTGCGAGTTAGTATAGGTTTTCAATCCAATCGTAGAAGGGAGCCACATTTATATTTTTCCAATTCACCAGTATCAAGTCTTTTTGCTGTGGTAAGGGCACGGAGAGTCCACTCATATCGTCCTTTTGTAAGGTTCCATGTGCTGGGTATATAATTCAAGAGGACATTTTGCTCTGTAAATGTAAGGTTGTTCCGTACAGTTCTGTTGATGTTCTCAGTTACCTTCTGCCAAAAATCTTTCAACATGGGACAATGATAAAAACATGCTTTAGAGAAGCACTATCCCTATTGCGGGACACGGGTGGTGCTGTGGGTTAAACCACTGAGCCTAGGACTTGCCGATCAGAAGGTCGGCAGTTTGAAACCCTGCGACGGGGTGAGCTCCCATTGCTCAGTCCCTGCTCCTGCCAACCTAGCAGTTCAAAAGCACGTCAGAGTGCGATTAGATAAATAGGTACCACTCTGGCGGGAAGGTAAACGGCGTTTCCGTGCACTGCTCGGGTTCGCCAGAAGCGGCTTAGTCATGCTGGCCACATGACCTGGAAGCTGTACGCCGGGTCCCTTGGCCAATAAAGCGAGATGAGCGCCGCAACCCCAGAGTCGGTCATGACTGGACCTAATAGTCAGGGGTCCCTTTACCTTTACCTTTATCCCTATTGCATCCGCCAGGGATTCTTTAGCTTTGATTCCAGCATTGCAGGGGGTTGAACTAGACAACCCTTGGGGTGCCCTCCAAATTAACTTGTTCTGTGATTCTCCAGAAATTGTGTAGAGGGCTATTTTGAAAGTAACTGACTGTCACTTTCCATCTGTGTTCCACCATAAAGTAAGCACCTCGGCTGGGACCCATACGTCCTCCGCTCCCTTCGGGTCTCTGAACTGATTAGACATTCCGTTCCAAGGTGATTATTTGTGTTCTGTATGCCATCCCTCATCACCTGTGCAAGCCGATCTTGCTCTATTTATTAGGCTCTCTATTTGCACATTCAGCTAATATGCATTCGATATGCGGGAGGTGTTCCTGCCCAACTCGCAGGCTTCCCAATGGTTGAAGTCTCAGCAGGGATCCAATAGCCGCAGACCAGCTTTTGCCATCTCTGGATGTTTTCCTAAGGACTGGGAAACATCTGAGTTTTCTCTGTACAGTGGTACCTCAGGTTACATACGTTTCAGGTTACATACACTTCAGGTTACAGACTCCGCTAACCCAGAAATAGTGCTTCAGGTTAAGAACTTTGCTTCAGGATGAGAACAGAAATCGTGCTTCGGCGGTGTGGCAGCAGCAGAAGGCCGCATTAGCTAAAGTGGTGCTTCAGGTTAATAACAGTTTCAGGTTAAGTACGGACCTCCAGAACGAATTTAGTACTTAACCTGAGGTACCACTGTACGGCTGATTGGCAACACGAGATTCTTGACCGGCTTTTCCCAATTGGGTACAGTGGTACCTCGGGTTAAGAACTTAATTCATTCTGGAGGTCTATTCTTAACCTGAAACTGTTCTTAACCTGAAGCACCACTTTAGCTAATGGGGCCTCCTGCTGCCGCCACACCGCCACCACACAATTTCTGTTCTCACCCTGAAGCAAAGTTCTTAACTTGAGGTACTATTTCTGGGTTAGCTGAGTCTGTAACCTGAAGCGTCTGTAACCCAAGGTACCACTGTACTGCCCAATTAATCGGTAGCACAACTCCAATCAGCCACAGCAAATTTCAGCTTAGAGAAAAGGCTAGTAAGAGTAGACATCTATACCATTATGCACAGTTTTCACCTAAAACACTAGAACTCGTTGACATCCAAAGAAGCTGAATGTTGGGAGATGCAGTGCAGAGCTAAATAGGGAACTTGCTCGCATGGAAGGCAGTAGTGGTGGCCAACTTGGATGGCTTTAAAAGAGGATGATGCAACTTCATGGTCCATCTATTCCAGCATCCTGTTCTCACAGTGGCCAACCAGATGTCCCAATGGGAAGCTCTCAAGTGGGACCTGAGCACAGGAGCAGTCTCCCCTCCTCTGGTTTCCAGCAACTGGTATTCAGAAGCATTACTGCCCCCTACAGTGGAGGCAAAGCCAAGCATTGTGGCTGGTAAACACTGACAACCTTCTCCATCTATGTCCTCTGCACATAAGGAGGCATATGTAGGAAAATGAATATCCCCCCCCCCCGCTGACTTCCCCATAATTTTTTTTTATTGATTTTCATACAATTTAACAAATTTAATTCCGTTTCAATACAATATCCCCTTAACGTTTTGAGCTCCCAACCTTACTTCCATGATGTTTTTGTTCAAATCCTTTATCTTCTGTCTTAAACTCTAATGCTTATTTCTGTAACGCGTATCCTACATTACATTCATTTATCATTCCCATTCCTTTGCTTAAATTTCCAGTCCTGCCTGCAATTTCATCTGACTATAACATTTCCTCAGATAGTCCAAAAAGGGTCTCTACTCGTCCAGAAACATTTCATCTGCTGACTTTTTAAAGAAATACAATATAACAGAGAAATGTGGAGTTGATATTAAGACGCGGGGAAACCACAAGGAAAAACTGAAAGGGATGGATTTGTTCATTCCCAACCCTGATATCCTTTTGGCTATGATGAGGCTGATAGATTTTGAAACCTGGGACCTTTTATTTTCATACAGCTGTGCTCTAGCATTGAGCTATGGTTCTCCCACCAGGGATAATTGGCTGCTGAAGTCATGTAATCAGTGCCGGATTTACGTATAAGCTACACAAGCTATAGCTTAGGGCCCCACTCACTTGGGCCCCCCCAAAAAATGTAAAGAAAAAAAACTGGATATACATTTCTAAAATATAAAATAAAAAACAAATAAAATAAAACCTACATATAGCAAGAGTGTTTTGTGTTGTGTAGGCTCCTATGATGTAAGTAATGAACGCCTTGCCTGCTAACCTGCTCCTTAAAATATCACTGGTTTGCTCATTTCTATATATATGGTGTCTACATTCTGCATGGACTGGTCTAGGGCTTGCCGATCAGAGGGTCGGCGGTTTGAATTTCCGCAATGGGATGAGCTCCTGTTGCTCGGTCCCTGCTCCTGCCAACCTAGCAGTTCGAAAGCACATCAAAGTTCAAGTAGATAAATAGGTACCGCTCCGGCGGGAAGGTAAACGGCTTTTCCGTGCGCTGCCCTGGTTTGCCAGAAGTGGCTTAGTCATGCTGGCCACATGATCCGGAAGCTGCACGCCGGCTCCCTTGGCCAATAAAGCAAGATGAGCGCTGCAACCCCAGAGTCGTTTGCAACTGGACCTAACGGTCAGGGGTCCCTTTACCTTTATATATAGGGGCCTACATTCTGCATGGACTGGTTGCATGGCAACATGTACAAAGGGCTTTAGATACCTATTAGGTCCATAAATTACCATATAGCATATATTCAACACAAAAAACAGTGACAATTTGTTGTTGACAAAGGACAGCTGGACTTATAAAGAGCCCCATTACCTTCAGTAGCTTAGGGCTCATCAAACCTAAATTCGGCCCTGCATGTAATACAAGAAAACTGGGAGCACGGTTGATAGGACTCTGTCTCTGAATGGGAAAATGCACCGGATCTTAGGACTGGAGAAGCGGGAAAGGACACATTATTTTCTGGGTGGAGTTATTCCAGTGAGGATGTGTTATGATCAGCCAGAGTGCTGTTGCTTAGCATGGCTGCAAATGAGAAGGAGGAGGAGGCACGATTCACTCTCCAAGGACTGCGCTGCTGTGGTCGCCTGGAGCAGTTCCCAAAAGTAATTATCAGTGAGGAGCTGCTGTTAATTAAAAGAGCTTGTGCCCATCGAAGCGACTGGCAGCCATGATGGTGTTTGTCCAATTCGGAGCTCTATAGGTGGGATAGACCTAATTGCTGAAGCTGCTGGATGAGTCCAGAACATCCTGAGCACCCTAGGTCTAGTTTAGAGAGCCCATGCTGGTGGAAAAAAATGGGTTTTGTTCCACAAAAGTTTTCCTGTGATCCATCTCCCACTCTCCCTTTCTTCCTTCCCCTTAAGACATAATGCCTTTCTGGGGTTGCAGTAGCTCTTTTGCTGCAAACAACTTACACAGAAATAGACCCACGGAAGATGAGGAATCCTGATTTGGTGTATGGTCAGGGGTTTGAGAGAAGGGACTGTAGCTCCATGGTAGAGCAACTGCTTAGCATGTAGGTCTTGAGTTCAAAGCAGGGCAGCTCCAAGCAGGGCTGGGAAAAGACTCCCCAACACCAAATTACTTTTGCAATAGTGGATAGCTCAGTTGGTTAGAGTGCGGTGCTGATAACGCCAAGGTTGCAGGTTCGATCTCTGTATGGGGCAGTTTCATATTTCTGCATTGCAGGGGGTTGGACTAGATGATCCTCAGGGTCCCTTCCGACTCTACATTTCAATGATTCTATGAAATCCTGAACAGCCATAGTTTGTCAGCATAAAAAGCACTGAGCTGGATGGATATTATAAGGCAGCTTCCTATTTAACTCAACTCTATTAAACACACTCACACACAGAGACTAGAATATTAATTTATTTTTAGGTGAAGGGCTGTAGCTCAGCTGAAGAGCACCTGCCTTGCATGCAGAAGTACTTAAGTTCAATTCTCAGCATCTCCAGGTATGGCTGGGAATGTCCCTTGTCTGAAATGCAGGAGAGCTGCTGCCAGTCAACGTAGGTGTCTCTGAGCTAGATAGCTAGATCTGACTCAGACAACCCCAAATTCAATAGGCAGATCTCAAAGGTAGAGCATATGATTTGCATGCAGAAGGTTCAGTCCCCGGCTTCTACAAGGAAGGCTTACATACCCTCCAACATTTCTCTGATGAAAATGGGGACGCCCAATTCCATAAGGATGGTGCTGCTGAGAAGAAGAAGAAGAAGAAGAAGAAGAAGAAGAAGAAGAAGAGGAAGAAGAAGATACTCCTCGCATCTGACTGGGTTGCCCCAGCCACTCTGGGTGGCTTCCAACGTATATAAAAACATAATAAAACATTAAACATTAAAAACGTCCCTATACAGGGCTGCCTTCAGATGTCTTCTCAAAGTTGTATAGTCACTTATCTTCTTGGCTTGGGGGTCGCATAACTCCATACCCTCCGATGAAAATAGGGATGTCCTACCATACCCTCTGGGACCATACCCCACTGAGACGTGGGTGGCGCTGTGGGTTAAACCACAGAGCCTCGGAATTGCCGATCAGAAGGTCGGCGGTTCAAATCCCCGCAATGGGGTGACCTCCCGTTGCTTGGTCCCTGCTCCTGCCTACCTAGCAGTTCAAAAGCATGTCAAAGTGCAAGTAGATAAATAGGTACCACTCCGGCAGGAAGGTAAACGGCATTTCCGTGCGCTGCTCTGGTTCACCAGAAGCGGCTTAGTCCTGCTGGCCACATGACCCGGAAGTTGTATGCCGGATCCCTTGGCCAATAAAGCGAGATGAGCGCCACAACCCCAGAGTCGGCCACGACTGGACTTAACGGTCAGGGGTCCCTTTACCTTTACCTTTACCTTTACCTTACCATACCCTCCAACATTTCCATGATGGAAATAGGGAAGTCCCAAGGAAAAGTGGGACATTCTGGTATCACATCAGAAACCAGGATGACTTCTGTAAATCCGGGACTGTTCCTGGAAAATAGGGACACTTGGATGGTCTGGGCTTAGGATAGACCCCTGTCTGAAACCCTGGACAGCTTCTGCCAGTCAGTGTAGACAAGGCTGAGCTAGATGGACTAAGGGCTACACTCAGTATAAGGCTGAGTTGGGCTGATCCCACATGGGTTTTGTACCGCTTGAATTCCTAGAGCATTCCCAACCAAATAGCTTCTCCCATTCTGTTTGTTTGGACAATCATTTCAGCATGCAGAGCAGAGACAGCAACAAGCTTCCATCCCCGACATGAAGCACGTCGGGAGACAGAACAACGTCCTGATACATCAGAAGAGATGAAGGTAACAAACAAAAGACATCAAGGACAGGGAACTAAGCATATGCAAATGCAGACGCTCCTCTCTCTCTGAAGTTGCCTGGCAAAGCTGTTTGGCACCCACACGGCAGAATGATGTGGGCGCCCGAATAAAAAAACGATAACAGATCAGATGACTTA